AAATGGAATTGATAGAATCTGTAAATAGGAGCTTTTACAGCATACCTCTAACACGAAGCTCGTAGGTCAAGGGATAGCGCGCGACCAAGCACGAGGAGGAGTCCGCGGGTTGGACGCGCGATTACACGGGCCGACCAATGAAGGTTGCGCAAAGGAAAGGCGCACATGGCGCTTGGAGGTTAGGCAGAGTGGCGCGCAGGGGGAGGTTGTTGGGTGGATGGCGCGCGAGGGGAGTTGTTGCGGATGGACGGGCGCACATCGAGCGATGGGTGATGCGCGGGCATTGGGCGCGCCGGACAATGAGCGCGGGGCGCACGGCGACACGCGAGGCACAAATCAAGACCGGGGTGGTAAGCCTAATCCTCGTAGGAATAGGCAAGGCGCGAATACTAATCCCCGCAGGAATAGGAAAAACAGTTAAGTGCCAGAACGCGCGTGGAAGATCGGTGACGGGAGTAATCCTCGGAAGATCAGGAAACGTAACCGGGAGCATATTCCTAGTAGGAATAGAAATAGTGGATATTGGCTCGAGGCATGATCCTATAAGGAATAGGAATGGCGCATGTGGGGCGCGAGGCCTTAAGCCTCGAGGCGAGAGGACATACATGGGCGAAGGCGGTGCAGCCCTAGTCCTCGAGGACTAGGGCAAGGCGTGAGGGCGGCGCATACGTTGAGACGGCGAAAGGGTTGAGGCGTGTGGAAGACTAGGAGGTTCTAGAATTGCTTGGTGTGCAAGCCAAGCATTAGTTATTTGGTAGTAATAGGATTTTATTGCTTTCTAGTGTTAGGATTTCTATTATTGCAAGATTTAGGAGATCTAGTATAGTTAGTCTTAGATTTTTTTTTCACCTATAAATACCCATGTACCTCTTCATTAATAAACATGTTGAGTCTTGGAATTGATGAGTGAATCTCATAGAGGGGGAACTTATGTTCTTACGTGTGTTTAAACAAGGCCGTTAGTGCGTGTTTACATACAGTGTCGGAGAGAAGGCCATTAGAGCGTCTTGAAATCACAGTGTCTAGGAGAAGGCCGATAGTGCGTCTGTTAGATACACCTATCGTGGATAAACGAAGGCCCTAGTGCGCGTTTATTCACAACCCACGTATAGATAACAACACGATCCTTCATCATTGGTGCTTTCATTGAGAGGTGCTGATCGTGCCTTTATCTATCTATCTTTTTTCTTTTTTTTCGGTTTGCCTTTTGCTGAGGGACCGATTTTCTTTTCTTTTTTGGTCGAAATTTTCGAATTTCTATTCAAATTTTTCATTTATTTTTTCGTGTCTTAAAAAAAAGTGTCATCTTGTTAGTCCTTTGTTTAATTTTTTATTACCTTTTGTTGAGGGGCCGAATTTCTCTTTGTTTTATTTTATTTTTGATTCAAATTTTTTCGAATTTTTAGAGTCAAAAAAAAAAAAAAAAATGTTGTTCGAGCCACTAGTTGAGTGGGATCAAGAGGATCTCGAATACCTCGAAAATTTGGAGAGGGAATTAACCCCTTGGGAGCAAGATTATTTGGAGGAGATGTACGAGCAAAAGGAGGAGTATGAAAGACAACTCAAGATCAGCGAGGAAGAGATCTTGCTCGTGGGCGAAGAGGGTGAAGCGGCGCACATCGACGGCGAGGCCGAAGGAGTCGAAGGGGCCAAGGTCATTGGTGCGATCTTGGTCGTGGGTGATGGGTGCAAAACGTGCGCACGGGAACAGCGCGCGCAACACATCGAGGTCGTGGCCGGAGGATCCGAAGTGCTCGCAGTCGGAGAGGAGATGTATGTCACGGTCGAAGCAGGCCATGATGAGGAGACATATGCACAGTGCGATGCAGATGGAGAGGTGGTCGAAGTCGAGAGCGAGATCTTGGCCGTGGTCGACGAGGGCCATGACGAGACACGTAGGAGGAACAATACGGATGAAGGGGATGCGACGTTCCAATTTGAGACTGAAGAAGATGTGCCCGATGTTTGGATGGTCGAGGATGAATCCTTGAGGACAAGGAAAGTCTCGAAGAGGAGGGGAATGATACGGAAGTGGATTCCGAACCCCGATGACGAGAAGGTCCCAGAGCTAAGACAACCCAAGGAGGCCAGAAAAAGGGCCAAAACGATGCATGCATGGCCTAAAAGACGAGTACGAGCTCGTATGCGAGGTGCACGAGCACGTAAGGAACGTCAAGGGTCAACTACACGGGGGTCGAACATGAGAGGGTCGAAGCTCGTAGGTCAAGGGATAGCGCGCGACCAAGCACGAGGAGGAGTCCGCGGGTTGGACGCGCGATTACACGGGCCGGCCAATGAAGGTTGCGCAAAGGAAAGGCGCACATGGCGCTTGGAGGTTAGGCAGAGTGGCGCGTAGGGGGAGGTTGTTGGGTGGATGGCGCGCGTGGGGAGTTGCTGCGGATGGACGGGCGCGCATCGAGCGATGGGCGATGCGCGGGCATTGGGCGCGCCAGACGATGAGCGCGGGGCGCACGGCGACACGCGCGAGGCACAAATCAAGACCGGGTGGAAAGCCTAATCCTCGTAGGAATAGGCAAGGCGCGAATACTAATCCCCGCAGGAATAGGAAAAGCAGTTAAGTGTCGGAACGCGCATGGAAGATCGGTGACGGGAGTAATCCTCGGAACATCAGGAAATGTAACCGGGAGCATATTCCTAGTAGGAATAGGAATAGTGGATGGCTCGAGGCATGATCCTACAAGGAATAGAAATGGCGCATGTGGGGCGCGAGGCCTTAAGCCTCGAGGCGAGAGGACATACATGGGCGAAGGCGGTGCAGCCCTAGTCCTCGAGGACTAGGGCAAGGCGTGAGGGCGGCGCATACGTTGAGGCGGCGAAAGGGTTGAGGCGTGTGGAAGACTAGGAGGTTTTAGAATTGCTTGGTGTGCAAGCCAAGCATTAGCTATTTGGTAGTAATAGGATTTTATTGCTTTCTAGTGTTAGGATTTCTATTATTGCAAGATTTAGGAGATCTAGTATAGTTAGGCTTAGATTTATTTTGCACCTATAAATACCCATGTATCTCTTCATTAATAAACATGTTGAGTCTTGGAATTGATGAGTGAATCTCATAGAGGGGGAACTTATGTTCTTACGTGTGTTTAAACAAGGCCGTTAGTGCGTGTTTACATACAGTGTCAGAGAGAAGGCCATTAGAGCGTCTTGAAGTCACAGTGTCTAGGAGAAGGCCGATAGTGCGTCTGTTAGATACACCTATCATGGATAAACGAAGGCCCTAGTGCGCGTTTATTCACAATCCACGTATAGATAACAACACGATCTGTCATCAGCGGCGCACGGTGCGCACGCCACGGCCACTTTAGCATGATAAGTAAAATTCATCATTTTGAGTATTTTCGGCGAATTTGATCATGTCAAGTTATTTCATGTTATTTCAAGTTAAATTGGTCGAGTGAAATCGCCGGACGGCCGGCAAGGGCCGGTCGTGGCCGCGCTGCCCGCACACAGCGGCAGCAGCGCGCCGGCAGTCAGTGATGCGGAAGT